GTTAAAGGGGATGTTTTGTGAAAGGAAAATGGTGGAATTTTTAATTTGATAATTTTGAGGAAAAAGAAAAATCGCAAAACCTACCATCATGTAAAACAAATCACAGCTTCGTTTTTCATCACTTTGGCAGGGCGGAGTACCTCCCGGGGGGTTGCTGTCTACCCGGAGGGCTTCTAGCACCTTGCCCCAGATTCAGTTGCCCTTATGACAGGCAGGGTTACAGAGGGAAAATTTTTTCCCCTTTCCCCATGGAGATTTTTGATATTTCTTCTTTCTTCTTTTTAACACACTGGCCATATCCCACAGAGGCGGGTGCCCAAAAAGGGAAAAAAGAAAAGTTCCTCCTTTTACTTTAGTAAAATTAAAAGGGAAAGGGTTACTAGCCCCGCTCCCCGCTTTAGTCACCTCTTTCAACATGCATGGCTTACGAGGAAGAAATTGTTTTCCCCTTCCCCATGGAGATAAAAGGAAACAACAGGAACAAGAACTAGAAAGAAAATAGAAGAAAACCCAGAGGGTGTGTGTATATATGCTTGTACATGTAGGTAGTAGGTTGGGTGGTAGTAAGGTTGGTAGAAAGCAACCACCCAGGGTACTACCGTCCTGCCAAGTGAGTTTGAAACGAAAGCCTGTAATTGTTTTATGTGATGGTAGGATTGCTGGTGTCCTTTTTTCTGTCTCATAAGCATGCAAGATTTCAGGTACGTCTTGATACTTCTACTTACACTTAGGTCACACTACACATACAAGTACAAGCACATATATACACACCCCTCTGGGTTTTCTTGTATTTTGTTTCTAGTTCTTATTCTTGTTTATTTCCTCTTATCTCCATGGGAAAGTGGAACAGAATTCTTCCTCCGTAAGCCATGCGTGTTGTAAGAGGCGACTAAAATGCCGGGAGCAAGGGGCTAGTAACCTCTTCTCCTGTATATATTACTAAATGTAAAAGGAGAAACTTTCGTTTTTCCTTTCGGGCCACCCCGTCTCGGTAGGATACGGCCGGTTTGTTGAAAGAAAAGAAAGAACATGTATGTGTAGTGTGACCTAAGTGTAAGAAGAAGCAGCAAGACGTATCTTAAATCTTGCATGTTTATGAGACAGAACAAAGACACCAGCAATCCTACCATCATGTAAAACAATTACAGGCTCTTGTTTTACACTCACTTGGCAGGACGGTAGTACATCCCTGGGTGGTTGCTGTCTACCAACCTACTACCTACATCTTTGATATTTATATGCATTTGTTTTTTTTTCAACCAAACGGCCATATCCCACCAAGGCAGAGTGGCCCAAAAAGAAAAAAAAAAGCTTCTCTTTTGGTTACTAGGCCCTTGCTCCCAGCATTTTAGTCGCCTCTTACAACACGCATGGCTTACGGAGGGAGAATTCTGTTCCACTTCCCCATGGAGATAAGAGGAAATAAACAAGAACGAAAACTAGAAAGAAAATAGAGGAAAACCCAGAGGGTGTGTATATATGTGCTTGTACATGTATGTGTAGTGTGACCTAAGTGTAAGTAGAAGTAGCAAGACATACCTGAAAACTTGCATGTTTATGAGACAAAAAAAAGGACACCAGCAATCCTACCATCATGTAAAACAATTACAGGCTTCCATTTCACACTCACTTGGCAGGACGGTAGTACCCCCCTGGGTGGTTGCTTTCTACCAACCTACTACCTACCCAACCTACTACCTACATGTACAAGCATATATACACACACCCCTCTGGGTTTTCTTCTATTTTCTTTCTAGTTCTTGTTCCTGTTGATTTCCTTTTATCTCCATGGGGAAGTGGAACATAATTCTTCCTCCGTAAGCCATGCATGTTGTAAGAGGCGACTAAGATGCCGGGAGCAGGGGACTAGTAACCCCTTCCCCTATATATATTACTAAATGTAAAAGGAGAAACTTTCGTTTTTCCTTTTGGGCCACCCTGCCTCGGTGGGATACGGCCGGTGTGTTGAAAGAAGAAAGAAGTAGTATCAAAGAATCTCCGAGAAACCGGTTGTAAGTCGAAATGGTCGTAAGTCGAACTTTACTACTGAATATCAACAAAACATTTTTGTAATGACTTTATTTTATTGTTTTATTTTGGTATTTCATGTTTCACTTTACTTTTTATGTTGTTAGTACTGTATTTTATACTGTAAGGCTTAGGATAAACACTGTGTACAACACAAATAGTTGTTTATTTCCCAAAAATTTGGCATAAAAAACATGGTCGTAAGTCGAGTGGTCGTAAGTCGAGCAGGTCGTAAGTCGGATGGTAGGTGTATATGCATATAATAACCAATTTATTGCAATTTCCTTCTCTTTGTTTTGCTCAACTTTCCAACTCATGACACATTAATAAATCCTAAAAGATTTGAGAAGTGGGAGAGAAGAAAGGCTTGACACTACTTCTAGGCCTCAAACATTGGATAATCCAAAGCCCCACAGTTTCAAGCATTACAGATTGAAGAGATTCAACTATGCTACACGTACCTGCAAAACAAAAGCATAGAACATGCAGCTGAAGGGTAGCAAGCAAGTAAGTGAGAGCCAAAACTTTTCAATTACAGTGGAAGACAGAGACGAGAGAATGACAAGTGAGAAATAAGTACTTGATACACTTTTTTTTCAACAAAGAGGCTGTATCCCACCAAGGCAGGGTGACCTAATAAGAAAATGAAAGTTTTTCTTTTTAAATTTAGTAATTCATACAGGAGAAGGGGTTACTAGTCTCTTGCTCCCGGCATTTCAGTCACCTCTTACGACACGCATGGCTTACGGAAGAAGAATTCTGTTCCACTTCCCCATGGAGATAAGAGGAAATAAAGGAGAACAAGCACTATTAAGAAAATAGAAGAAAACCCAGATGGGTGTGTATATATATATGTGTACATGCATGTGTAGTGTGACCTAAGTGTAACAAGTAGCAGCAAGATATACCTGTTATCCGCACTGATACAAAATAAGAGCAAAAACATTATAACATACAAACATAGTGTGATTTCATATATGTAAAAACACATGACAGGTATGGAAAATATGTGACAATGAGGTCACATGTGTAATACAGAGGTCACTTGATTAGACAATCTAAAAGGCAATAAGGTGAATAAGAGAAATTTCTGATAAACAGTAAGCTTTTAAATGTGAAAAAAAAAGAGAGGTAGCTAAATGAACAATACAGATCCTCCCCGACTTATGTCCAAGTTCTGTTCTGACAGATCGGCCAGATCTCAAAATGGAGGGATGTGGGAATTATGTTAGCATGGCTTGTAGAAGTTGTATACTGGTACAGCATTCTTTTAACCTAATAAATTTCTGTCTTTGTGGCATTTATGGATTTGGAAAAGGCGTATGACAGGGTGGATAGGGGGGCAATGTGGCAGATGTTGCAAGTGTATGGTGTAGGAGGTAGGTTACTGAAAGCAGTGAAGAGTTTTTACGAGGATAGTGAGGCTCAAGTTAGAGTATGTAGGAAAGAGGGAAATTTTTTCCCAGTAAAAGTAGGCCTTAGACAAGGATGTGTGATGTCACCGTGGTTGTTTAATATATTTATAGATGGGGTTGTAAGAGAAGTAAATGCAGGGTCTTGGCAAGAGGCGTGGAGTTAAAGATAAGAATCACAAACAAAGTGGGAGTTGTTTACAGCTGCTCTTTGCTGATGACACTGTGCTCTTTGGGAGATTCTGAAGAGAAGTTGCAGAATTGGTAGATGAATTTGGTAGGGTGTGCAAAAGAAGAAAATTAAAGGGGAATACAGGAAAGAGTAAGGTTATGAGGATAAACAAAAGATTTTGGTGATGAAAGATTGAATCAGATTGGAGGGAGAGAGTAGGAGGAGGTGAATGTATTCAGATATTTGGGAGTGGACGTGTAGCGGATGGGTCTATGAAAGATGAGGTGAATCATAGAATTGATGAGGGGAAAAAGTGAGTGTGCACTTAGGAGTCTGTGGAGACAAAGAACTTTGTCTTGGAGGGAAAGAGGGAATGTATGAGAGTATAGTTTTACAATGCTCTTATATGGGTGTGAAGCATGGGTGATGAATGTTGCAGCGAGGAGAAGGCTGGAGGCAGTGGAGATGTCATGTCTGAGGGCAATGTGTGGTGTGAATATAATGCAGAGAATTCGTAGTTTGGAAGTTAAGAGGAGGTGCGGGATTACCAAAACTGTTGTCCAGAGGGCTGAGGAAGGGTTGTTGAGGTGGTTCGGACATGTAGAGAGAATGGAGCAAAACAGAATGACTTCAAGAGTGTATCAGTCTGTAGTGGAAGGAAGGCGGGGTAGGGGTTTGGCCTAGGAAAGGCTGGAGAGAGAGGGGGTAAAGGAGGTTTTGTGTGCGAGGGGCTTGGACTTCCAGCAGGCATGCGTGAGCGTGTTTGATAGGAGTGAATGGAGACAAATGGTTTTTAATACTTGACGTGCTGTTGGAGTGTGAGCAAAGTAACATTTATGAAGGGGTTCAGGGAAACCGGCAGGCCGGACTTGAGTCCTGGAGATGGGAAGTACAGTGCCTGCACTCTGAAGGAGGGGTGTTAATGTTGCAGTTTAAAAACTGTAGTGTAAAGCACCCTTCTGGCAAGACAGTGATGGAGTGAATGATGGTGAAAGTTTTTCTTTTTCGGGCCACCCTGCCTTGGTGAGGAATCGGCCAGTGTGATAATAAAAATATATAAATAAATTTCTGTCATATTGATCTCATTTTTTATCACCTGCTTTATTACCTTAAGCTTCATTACTCACAAACTGATGTTCCTTATTTATAATGTCTATATTTACATACATATATATATACTATATATATTTTTTTTAATTTACAGTGTATTCGGTAGTATGTGCGGATAAGCATAAGTCACATGGGTCGGAAGTTGGGGGGGACCTGTGGTAAAATTTTAAAAGTATGCATTAACACTTCAATTACTAAATTTAAAAAGAAAAACTTTCATTTCTCTTTTTAGGTCACCCTATCTTGGTGGGATAAAGCCTATGCCACTGTGTACTCACCTTGCCTGGACTTGATACCTTCTTCCTTGTAATATAAAGGAACTGGGATAACCTCTAAGAAGGATGTGATCTCCATGTCAAATATGAAGACATAAAACACAAGTCTGCAAAACAAAACAAAGAATCATTTGCCTAACACTTATAATATTTATACACAACACTAAGTACAATATGTCTGAGTATGTGCAGCAGTTGAGTATTTTATGACGTATACTTCAATTTTTACATTTAAATCGTATAGATGAGAAAAAATATCTTTCATAATTTAAATAAATATTTTAGCTAATGTTTGACAGATGCCCATATGGGAACATTAAAAGGAGTAACAATATAAAGAAGAAAAGACAGTAACAAATAAAAATGATAGATAAGACTAGAAGACAGTCCATGCATTTTATTTCCCAATTATATTAGGTAAAATCAAATCAGGCCCAAAATTTAAAACAGAAAATCATGAAATAAACTGGCAAATAAACATGTTGAGTAGACGAGGTTGCTTTACTCACGGGTATCCAAGAGCCAGTATCTTGATGTAAGTGAGAGCATCACTGATGGTGTACAGACAAAAGCCAAGGAGTGTTGCAATGATACATACAAACACCACTCTGATGGAAAAAAACAACCTTTACAAAATGTTGATTCAGATGAGAGCAAAAGCTGCAAAATATTATAAATAATACACAGGTGCTTCTCGACTCACGATGGAGTTACATCCAGACGAAGTCATCGTGAGGCGAAAATATCATAAGTCGATTATGAATATGATATGCTAAATGAATAAGCAAATAAATAACTACTGTCACTGAATAAGTAAATAAAAAATAATTACTATAACTAACTAAATACCAGCATTGAAAAGTAACTGAATGAATACAAGTTACAGACTTGCCACCTTCATGCTGAGTAATTATCTTAAGTTTCATTTCCAAAGTAATTGCTTTTTGCATCATTGTAGTCAAAACATTGTTAGCCAAAACACTGTTAATCAAACCATCATAAGTCGAGGAACACCAGTACAGTGTACAGGGTAGCTCGAAGTCTGGCTCCAAACAGTATAATAGCTTTGAAGAGAAAAATAGGAAATTCTGCTTAGGTCATTGTTTCTGTCTTTTAAGGAACTTTCATGAAAACGTTTGTCCAATAGCATTCAGTTTTAATAACTAAATTAAATGCAAATTGTATATTAGTGAATATCACGATGTCATTTCCTTTTACTTAGTTGGATGACTTAAATTTTCTTAAACCTTTCTTTTCAAAATTCATAACATGAAAGTCCACATATAATACTATTAGGTATCTAGGCAAATTTGTATTTAACGGCAAGGACAAGTTAACTTACCGAGCTACAGAGAGAGACGATTTCCAGAGAGACTGGTGAAGACATCTGGTAATGACTAACTTGAGGATGCTCCAGCCCCACCTCCGGGTCAGTGTCACCACAATAAACCACACTACACTTCCATCGATCAGGTACAGATTCTATGTACAAAGAGGATAGTACATACAATGATCAAAATTTCAAATGAGGTATAGTATTACATCTTTCTTATTTTGGATCAAATTACTGTAACTTTTTCTTGCTTTATCCCATTCTCAAAATTTTTTTAAGAAAACAATGATCTTGTGAGCTTCAATCACTACACACAGCTAAAATAAAAATCCTAGATTTAAAAAAAAAAGCTCATTGGACTTTCCAACCCAGACATTTTTATTTGGTTCTGCTATATTCTAAATTTTTGTAGCAAAGCCATTAGATACATATTTAAGGGATTAAATTATGGGGAATTAAATACAAAATGGGAAGTGACACATTTACTTTTTGCTGATGATACTGTGCTTATGGGAGATTCTAAAGAAAAATTGCAAAGTTTAGTGGACGAGTTTGGGAGTGTGTGAAAAGGTAGAAAGTTGAAAGTGGACATAGAAAAGAGTAAGGTGATGAGGGTATCAAATGATTTAGATAAAGAAAAATTTGATATCAAATTGGGAAGGAGGAGTATGGAAGAAGTGAATGTTTTCAGATACTTGGGAGTTGACGTGTCGGCGGATGGATTTATGAGGGATGAGGTTAATCATAGAACTGATAAGAGAAAAAAGGTGAGTGGTGCATTGAGGTATATGTGGAGACAAAAAACATTATCTATGGAGGCAAAGAAGGGAATGTATGAAAGTATAGTAGTATCAACACTCTTATATGGGTGTGAAGCTTGGGCTGTGAATGCAGCAGCAAGGAGGCAGTTGGAGGCAGTGGAGATATCCTGTCTACGGGCAATGTGTGGTGTAAATATTATGCAGAAAATTCGGAGTGTGGAAATTAGGAGAAGGTGTGGGGTTAATAAAAGTATTAGTCAGAGGGCTGAAGAGGGGTTGTTGAGGTGGTTTGGTCATTTAGAGAGAATGGATCAAAGTAGAATGACATGGAGAGTATTTAATTCTGTAGGGGAAGGAAGGCTGGGTAGGGATCGTCCTCAAAAAGGTTGGAGGGAAGGGGTAAGGGAGGTTTTGTGGGCGAGGGGTTTGGACTTCCAGCAGGCGTGCGTGAGTGTGTTAGATAGGAGTGAATCGAGACAAATGGTATGTGGGACCTGACGATCTGTTGGAGTGTGAGCAGGGTAATATTTAGTGAAGGGATTCAGGGAAACCGGTTATTTTTATATAGCCGGTCTTGAGTCCTGGAAATGGGAAGTACAATGCCTGCACTCTAAAGGAGGGGTTCAGGATATTGGCAGTTTAGAGGGATATGTTGTGTATCTTTATACGTATGTATATGCTTCTAAGCTGTTGTGTTCTGAGCACCTCTGCAAAAACAGTGATTATGTGTGAGTGAGGTGAAAGAGTTGAATGATAATGAAAGTATTTTCTTTTTGAGGATTTTCTTACTCTTTGGGTCACCCTGCCTTGGTGGGAGATGGCCGACTTGTTGAAAAAAAAAAGAAAACCTATGTGAATTTTCTGTCAGTAGCCTGGCTGCAAGAGCAGTTTTTGTCTTTCTATTGACAGACAAGATGACCCACACAGGTTTAGTGCTTCAAGTATAGACCAAAACATCATCATAAGCTTCCTTTCCTAAGTGTGGGTCATTTGTAAATTGTTCAAATTACAGCATTGTAATTTTTAGACTTTACATACAGCAATTTTTCCCAGATGCATAAACTAACAATAACAACACACATGGCTCCTGCAAAGTACGCATTGGGACAAATAACGGTCACAGAAATAAAAACTGAAAACTTTAATGAGTCAAAAAGATATATGAGAGAATTTCTTAATAGGGTGAGTGGAATGTGACTGAAGAAGTACAGCAAGGGAAACTAATTCCCTACAAGAATTCATATCTAACTACAGCACAGTGAGAGAAAAATCAGTAGTGTTAAGGATCAACTAATGCACAATGCAGGGACCCAAGAGCTGGAGCTCAACTTGCTCCCTGTAGAGACATTAGACAAATACGCATAAATAAATTAAATAAATACCATATTAAATATGGAATAATTTTCTGTACCTCTTAAAGTAAACAGAGTTCCCTATTACATCTCTGGTATTATTAAACATATATGTTGCTTTATATACCATGGCATATTTGGTGTGAGAGTGTGGCAGCCAGAAGACAGTGCGATAGATATTCAGGTATTGAAGTGCGAGAGACATAAGGCTAAACACCAACATCAATGTCTCAAATCCCAACTCAGAGATGCGAGGAATATCCGGAATAGTCAAGTGCTTAGGAAGTGTGATGGGCATCAGAGGAGGCCCTTCTTCTGCATGCCCTAATCTGCATTAAAAAAAGGAATATAAAATTTAAGAATCGTAATTAATACAAATTTTTGTAGTTTTTTATTAAACCAAACAAACCTATTAGCCCATTTTTTTAAATACTGTAAAAGAATAAGCAGTTAACTTTAACTTATTAGTAGTGTCTCTAAATATTATTAAAGTATATGATTACAGAATATGTCTTCTCATCCAAGAGCATGTATCACATGATTATAGCATATGCTCTACAGAACAGCTTTTTCATCCAAGGGCCATCAAGAGTATCACTAACCTCTTTAACTCATGATCTAGGAGTGCCACAGGCTTGGGTGGTGGAGCACGGGAAGTGTTGCGTCGTCCTCCTGCCATTGTTTCTCTTCTGTCGATCCGTCACACTTCTACCACATTAAATTTGTATCATGAGATATGAATACACTCCTGTAACAAAGTATCTGTGAAATGTTGTAACTGAAAGTTTAAATAACATTTGGGAAATGTCAGGATGAGGTACACTTTCACACATATTTTAATAATAATAATATTTTTTTTTTTTATTAACACATTGGCTGTTTCCCACCAAGGCAGGGTGGCCCAAAAAAAGAAAAACTTTCATCATCATTCACTCCATCACAGTCTTGTCAGAGGTATGCCTACACTACAGTTATAAAACTGCAACATTAACACCCGTCTTTATAATAATAATAATAATAATAATAATAATAATAATAATAATAATAATAATAATAATAATAATAACAATAATAATAATAATCTTTACTTTAACAAGTACATGTACAAGGTATGCAGACCACATCTGACTTTAATGACATACTATTATACAGAAAGTCCCTTGTTATGCAAAGCATTTCGGGCAAATTAAGAAGAATTTTTGGAAAAAGGGTGATTAAATAAATACATAAACTTCAAACACAAAAAAATAACCATCACACACATTCATCACATACAAAAAAAAAAATAATAAACAATTATTTTCAAAACCAAGTTATAGTAAGTGCTTTAACCATTGGATTTTTTTTTTAAATTATATATGACAAATTATTGAAGAAAGGACAACACAAGCATTTATAAATTAGTAATTAAAAGAAAAATTACTGTCAATTATATTAAATAACAGGAAGACATAGAGTACGTATTCTCAGAGTCTGAAAGTTCTTTATTATTGAGCTTGGACTTACACTTGAAAGTTTAAGTTAGAGCTTGGACTTACACTTGAAAGTTTAAGTTAGAGCTTGGACTTACACTTGAAAGTTTAAGTTAGAGCTTGGACTTACACTAGAAAGTTTAAGTTAGAGCTTGGACTTACACCTGAAAGGTCAGCCAGAGAGAACTGTGACTGTGACTGATAACTATGGCAGAGCAAGGTGCCCACAACAATAATAATAATAATAATAATAATAATAATAATAATAATAATAATAATAATAATAATAATTTTTATTTCTACAAGTACATAATAAAACTTATGCAGACTTATATGATAAATAATGAAGATGGGATATGGCCATTATCTCCCTTCAACTGTAGCTACAAATAGTTAACAAAAAACATGTAAAAAAATATTCAATCAGGATTGGTGGCTGACTTTCCCAAAACACCCTACAAAATTCTCAACATGAAAATAAAAAAAACATGCTATTCATTGACCCCAAAGGAAATAGGTTACTTTGGCTGACATTCTTGGGTTATTCTGGATAATTTACAGTGTGTATGATAATTGTACTTATGTGTACCTGTACCTAAATATACTTACTTATCCCAATCAGAATGCAGCGAGATTGCAAATATTTATGCTAGGCTCATGTTGTTTGTAGGATTGTATGGTCTCAGTGGTTTTGACCATCATGAATTTTCACTCTCTTCCCATAAGGCGGGCTAAAACAACACGGGTTCGATCCCCTGGCTAGCTGCAGTTTGTTACTGATTAAATAAATAGTAACCTTGCAGAGAAATAAACTTACTTTGTTTTGTTTTGTTTAAATACCACTTGTTCGTGGTTACAATAATACACGCATATACATTAGCATTAGTACAATTACCGACAGTATGTTAATATGTTTAAAGGAGAGGTTTGGGATATTGGCGGTTTGGAGTGACTGAGCGCAAAGACAGTGATTATGTATGAGTGATGGTTAAAGTGTTGAATAATGATAAAAGTTTTTTCCTTTTTTTCTTTTTTGGTCACCCTGCGTCGGTGAGAAACAGCTGACGTATTAAAAAAAAGTCAGGAAAAAGAACACAAGTGCAACTAATGCGACATTTTATTGTGGAAACGTTTCGCTTTCCAGGAACTTTATCAAGCATACATACATACCAATCATTCTCGTACATATATTTTCATTGAAGGTTTATTTAGGTACAGGTACATAATAAGTACAATTACCATGCATACTGTAAATTACCCACGATAACCCAAAAATATCAAACAATGTGACTTATTTCCACTGGAGTTCTTGACTTACTTCCACTGAGGTCCATTAGGATAATTTATTTACATACACATATAATAATAATATAACAATATCTTTATTTCTACATATATAAGGTATTCAAACCACAGCTAACATTAATAACATATTATACAGAAAGCCGCTTGTTATGCAGAGTATTTCGGGCATTTAAGGTAAATTTTGTCCCAGGATGCGACCCACGCCAGTCGACTAACACCCGGGTACCCATATTACTGATGGACAAACGTAGACAACAGGTGTAAGGAAACACACCCAATGTTTCCACCCTTGCCGGGAATCAAACCCGGACCATCAGAATTTGAAACAATTATTATTATTATTATCAAAAAGAAGCATTAAGCTACAAGGGCTATACAGCGTGAATTTGAAACAAGAGCTTTGCCTACCAGGCCACATAGTAACATTTATACATGTAAGTTATCCCCCTCCTAAGATAACTGCACAAAAAAATTGCAGAAAAGGTGATTTCCATTTCCCTCTATTTCTATTACCATATAAGCAACATGAAGTCCAAAATCTATAGGGAAATTATGATGCACAGGACAATATGGCCTCCATACCCAACAAAATTTGGCAAAGGAGTGCAAAATGATGTGAGTAATAACACTTCTTGGGGCGAGAAAAACTCTCCTTCACAAAGGGTTTGTTGTTGTTGTTGTTGGGTTGAAAGGTTATGACGGTCTTAGGGCTCTGTGATGGGTTGTAAGATCAAGACGGTCCTAGGATCGTGTGATGGGTTGAAAGATTATGACGGTCTTAGGGTCGTGTGAACCATTAGGAGGATGGAGATAAAGGGGATGTTTATCTTATTACTTGCTAACTCACTTACTTACTTTGTAATTTACTGATTTACTTGTTAATTTACTTACTAATTTACTTATTAACTTACTAATTTACTTATTAACTTATTTATTTGCTTACTAATTTACTTATTTATATACTCACTTATATACTTACAAACATTTATTTATTAACTTACTTATTTACTTATAAACTCATTTACTTGCTAACTTATTTATGTACTAGCTTATTTACTTACTAACTTACTTATTTACATACTAACTTATTTACTAACATTTATTTGCTAACTTACTAATTTACTAATTTAATACACTAATTTACTTATTTGCTAACTTATTTACTTACTTATTTTCTAATTTACTTATTTACTAACTTAATTATTTGCTATTTATTTACTAACTTGCTTATTTACTAGCTTACTTATTTACTAACTTGTTTACTTACTTATTTTCTAACTTATTTACTAACTTAGTTGCTAACTTACTTGCTTACTTACTAACTTACTTATTTACTTACTCACTTACTTATTTACTTGCTTATTTACTTATTTAATAACTTACTTATTTACTAACTTACTTATCAACTAACCTATTTACTTACTTATTTTCTAACTTACTCATTTACTAACTTATTTTCTAATTTACTTATTTACTAACTTACTTGTGCTAACTTATTTACTGACTTATTTTCTAACTTACTTATTTACTAACTTACTTGCTAACTTACTTGCTTACTTACTTATTTACTTACTAACTTACTTATTTACTTATTTATTACTTACTTATTTACTAACTTGCTTATTTGCTAACTTACTTATTCACTAACTTACATATTTACTTACTACTTACTTATTAACCAACTAACTTACTTATTTACTTCCTTATTTATTTACTAACTTACTTATAAACTTACTAAGTTTTTTACTTTCATATTTAATTACTAACTTACTTATTGACTAACTAACTTACTTATTAACTAACTTATTAACTAACTTACTTATTAACTAATTTATTAACTAACTTCCTTATTCACTAACTTACTTATTTACTTACTTATTAACTAACTTTCTTATTAACTAACTTGCTGATTCACTAACTTACATATTTACTTACTAACTTACTTATTAATTAACTAACTTATTAACTAGCTGATTCACTAACTTACATATTTACTTACTAACTTACTTATTAACTAGCTAACTTATTAACTAACTTATTAACTAGCTGATTCACTTACTTACATATTTACTTACTAACTTACTTATTAACTAGCTAACTTATTAACTAACTTATTAACTAGCTGATTCACTTACTTACATATTTACTTACTAACTTACTTATTAACTAGCTAACTTATTAACTAACTTGCTGATTCACTAACTTACATATTTACTTACTAACTTACTTATTAACTAGCTAACTTATTAACTAACTAACTTGCTGATTCACTAACTTACATATTTACTTACTAACTTACTTATTAACTAACTAACTTATTAACTAACTAACTTGCCGATTCACTAGCTTACATATTTACTTACTAACTTACTTATTAACTAACTAACTTATTAACTAACTAACTTGCTGATTCACTAGCTTACATATTTACTTACTAACTTACTTATTAACTAACTAACTTATTAACTAACTAACTTGCCGATTCACTAACTTACATATTTACTTACTAACTTACTTATTAACTAACTAACTTATTAACTAACTAACTTGCTGATTCACTTACATATTTACTTACTAACTTACTTATTAACTAACTTATTAACTAACTTGCTGATTCACTAACTTACATATTTACTTACTAACTTACTTATTAACTAACTTATTAACTAACTAACTTGCTGATTCACTTACATATTTACTAACTTACTTATTAACTAACTTATTAACTAACTAACTTGCTGATTCACTAACTTACATATTTACTTACTAACTTACTTATTAACTAACTAACTTATTAACTAACTAACTTGCTGATTCACTTACTTACATATTTACTTACTAACTTATTAACTAACTAACTAACTAACTAAGTTATTAACTAAGTTAGCATGGTGTGAACCCATCATCATCATCATCAACAACAACAACACAACGTGGGTTGTGGCCCTATAAACCCCAACAACCTGAACCTGGGTAAAGTTCACAAGTTTTCTGCATTATTTTGTAGTTCTTTGACTTTCCTTGAATTTTTTTTTTGACAGATGTTGATGACAGAGCAACGTTGATGTTATATATGTTGATGTTGATGACTGTGTTATACTCTATGTTACATAAATGTGCACAAATACTGTCACCACCCTCGTGTATCTAACACATGTAGTAACTATAATGTAAGTATATATGTAATGTATATATAAAATATATATATATATATATATATATATATATATATATATATATATATATATATATATATATATATATATATATATTATATATATATAATATATATATATATATATATATATATATATATATATATATATATATATATATATATATAATGTATAGTATATATATATTATATGTACATATATATATATATATATATATATATATAATATATATTATATATATATATATAATATATATATATATATATATATATATATATATATAATATATATATATATATATATATATATATAAATGTACTTATATTTATACTCCAGGTATAGATATATATATGTAGGTAAGTATATATGTTTGTATGTATGTATGTATGTATGTAAGTAAATATGTAAGTACGTACGTTTATTGAGGTAGAGGTTCACATAAATACAGTTACACATTATCATACATAGTAACATATGTGTAAATTATCCATCAGGATAACCATAAAAAGGTCAAAGTAACTTATTTCCATTGGGGGCCCTTGTATTTCCATTGGGGGCCCTTGTATTTCCATTGGGGGCCCTTGTATTTCCATTGGGGCCCTTGTATTTCCATTGGGGGCCCTTGTATTTCCATTGGGGCCCTTGTATTTCTATTGGGGGCTCTTGTATTTCCATTGGGGGCTCTTGTATTTCCATTGAGGGCTCTTGTATTTCCATTGGGGCCCCTGTATTTCCATTGGGGGCCCTTGTATTTCCATTGGGGCCCTTGTATTTCCATTGGGGGCCCTTGTATTTCCATTGGGACCCTTGTATTTCCATTGGGGGCTCTTGTATTTCCATTGGGGGCTCTTGTATTTCCATTGGGGCCCTTGTATTTCCATTTGGGGCCCTTGTATTTCCATTTGGGGCCCTTGTATTTCCATTGGGGGCCCTTGTATTTCCATTGGGGGCCCTTGTATTTCCATTGGGGGCCCTTGTATTTCCATTGGGGGCCCTTGTATTTCCATTGGGGGCTCTTGTATTTCCATTGGGGCTCTTGTATTTCCATTGGGGCCCTTGTATTTCCATTGGGGGCCCTTGTATTTCCATGGGGGCCCTTGTATTTCCATTGGAGGCTCTTGTATTTCCATTGGGGCCCTTGTATTTCCATTGGGGCCCTTGTATTTCCATTGGGGGCCCTTGTGTTTCCATTAGGGCCCTTGTATTTCCATTGGGGCCCTTGTGTTTCCATTAGGGCCCTTGTATTTCCATTGGGGGCCCTTGTGTTTCCATTAGGGCCCTTGTATTTCCATTGGGACCCTTGTGTTTCCATTAGGGCCCTTGTATTTCCATTGGGGGCCCTTGTATTTCCATTGGGGGCCCTTGTGTTTAGATTAGGGCCCTTGTATTTCCATTGGGGGCCCTTGTGTTTCCATTAGGGCCCTTGTATTTCTAGTGGTATATTACTTGCTTAATATATTATAGTGTAAACATGTTATCAGGCCTTTATATGCATTTCAAAGTGAAAAAAACTGTTTCACTTTACGGCAGTAGCCAGGAACCTAACCTGCTGTATAAGTGGGGCCCTACAGTAGCCTGGAACCTAACCTGTTGTATAAGTGGGGCCCTACAGTAGCATGGAACCTAACCTGCTGTATAAGTGGGGCCCTACAGTAGCATGGAACCTAACCTGCTGTATAAGTGGGGCCCTACAGCAGCATGGAACCTAACCTGCTGTATAAGTGGGGCCCTACAGTAGCCTGGAACCTAACCTGTTGTATAAGTGGGGCCCTACAGTAGCCTGGAACCTAACCTGTTGTATAAGTGGGGCCCTACAGTAGCATGGAACCTAACCTGCTGTATAAGTGGGGCCCTACAGTAGCATGGAACCTAACCTGCTGTATAAGTGGGGCCCTACAGTAGCCTGGAACCTAACCTGTTGTATAAGTGGGACCCTACAGTAGCCTGGAACCTAACTTGCTGTATAAGTGGGGCCCTACAGTAGCTTGGAACCTAACCTGCTGTATAAGTGGGGCCCTACAGTAGCCTGGAACCTAACCTGTTGTATAAGTGGGACCCTACAGTAGCCTGGAACCTAACTTGCTGTATAAGTGGGGCCCTACAGTAGCTTGGAACCTAACCTGCTGTATAAGTGGGGCTCTACAGTAGCCTGGAACCTAACCTGCTCTATGAGCAGAGCCCTACAGTAGCCCAGAACCTAACCTGCTGTATAAGCAGGGCCCTACTGTAGCCTGGAACCTAACCTGCTGTATAGGCAGGCCTTCCTGTATAATTAACCAGGTATAATGCAGTAAAGATAGACCATGTGACTTATTTCCATGATGAATGCAGATGACTGAGTGTTCATGTGAATTTTACTAATATGTATGGTATATATGTACTTTCATCTAAAATTATTTATCCCTTTTTTTCAGGAATATTAAACAAATTGGATACAGCAAAAATCTTCATCATGGGTGAAGCACCCTGCTTCCAGGAATTGTTTGCAAATTTAATCACAAAACTGAAAGAGTTAGATAAAGTGATGGAGGTGAGCAGTCACTTTGGTCCTGACCGTAGTCTTGAGGAGATGTTTTCATACCTCTGGGGCTTAGATGAAGCTCAGTTTTACCTTAAACCAACTCTGTTTCATTTGGGTAAATCAGATGCTGAGTCTGAGAGACTTCGAGCCGAGGGCAACCGATTTTACCAGAGAAAATTTTTTGACAAGGCTCTGAAACTTTACAATCTTAGCATAATGTCTGCATCTCATCCAAAACTACCACTGATGAAAAGAGACATTAATATAATTATAAAAAATCCAGATATACTTGAAGCTTTCGAGACAAGTAATGAAGATTCTTACAGATCTCTGGCATTGGGATATGCCAATAGATCTGCGGTGTTGTTTGAATTAGGACAACACAAAAAATGTATAAATGATATCACTATGGCTCTCAGGTATGGCTATCCAAAGTTGTTGCACATTAAGTTAGCTGAAAGAGCTGCAAAATGCCTTTTAGCTCTAAAAAGAGGAGAGGAAGCTAAACATTTATTGCGCTCTTCACTTCAAGCTTTAAATGCCATATCATTAGATGAGACAAAAACTAGGGCATCAAGGGATGCCTTGCATCAGTTGCTGCAGCAGTGTCAAGATGAAGGAGGGGTAAATAGTTTGCCTCTGGAGCCAGAGTGTCTTGGTACGTCATCGTGCTTTTCATCCGCTGCCAAACATCAGCTTTTATTTACATACAAAACTCCCGAGCCGCCTGAATTGTTATACCGTCACCCCACAATACCATCCTTGAGCAGTGCTGTCAGTTTGGCTTTCTCTTCTACACAGGGACGGTATCTTCTGGCGGAAAGAAGCATTAGTCCAGGTAAGTTTTCACAATTTAAATAATTCACTAATTTTCATGATTTTTTTCTTAGTTTCCAATAAACTTTCACTGGATAAAGTCATTATACATACATATAAAGAAAAATCTCAGTATACGGTGGAACCTCAAATATCGAACTTTCTTCGGTCCAGAAGGCTGTTCGAGTGCCTTTACCGAATGAATTTATTCCCATCAGGAATAATGTAAATTAGATTAGTCCATTTCAGACCCTCAAAAATACACTTATAAAAGCACTTACAAAAATACACTTACATAATTGGTCGTGTTGGGAGCAGTTCGATTTTTGAGGTTCCACTGTAATTTGTTTATCTTTAAATAATTTTTATTAAGGCAATGCAGGTAACTGTAAAATATTCAGTTTGTAAATGGTATGGCAATACTGGCAAGCTGTGGTAAACAACAATTGTGTGGAGAAATTTTTTCCAACCCCATGGATGCATCAAGAGAACTGAGACCCCCCCCCTCTCTCTCTCTCTCTCTCTCTCTCTCTCTCTCTCTCTCTCTCTCTCTCTCTCTCTCTCTCTCTCTCTCTCTCTCTCTCTCTTTTTTTTTTTTTTTTTTTTTTTTACACAGGGTTTGACAAGGTTAAGGATCCCTAACTTTGTTGACAAGCTATTTACAGGTTAAGGATTCCTAACTTTATTGGCAAGCTAAGAGCTGTTACCTACATCAGCTCATTTGAAAGCATTTTTATTGTTATGAGACATACAAGTAGGGAACAGGATGAAGTTGGAGCCATCTGTGGGCCAGCATTTTCATTTGATCAACTGACTTTATCTCGTTGACATCATTATGCTGTACGAATGTGTTCCATACTCGAGTCATCCTGGGTATATATGATCTCAGATGGAGTGATGTTCTGGGGAAGGGTACAGCCAGAGTGAAGTTGCTGCTTTCTGCCTGTCTTGTGACATAAAAGCTTGTTTCACACTGTCCTCGAAGTGGATCCAAGTGTGGTACTTTGACAATATTGGCCTTGTACATAACAGTAAGGCCACCCACATCCCTCCTATGTTGAAGGCTCTGCTGAAATGACAGATCTATCCAGGATGGGTCCAGGCGAGAGATGAGACGTCTTGCTCTGTTCTCTTACTCTGTCAAGCAGTCGCAGATGAGAGGGGGAGCAGGCAAACCAAGAAAGTGGAGCATACTCAAGGTGTGAGTGTACCTGTGCCTCGTACAGAATCTTGCAACCCCTACTGTCAAGCAGATGCACCCTTTACTCTCCCCCCCCCAGTGTGAGAAAAGTCAAGATGATGTCAAGAATGCTATATCCATCACTAGCAAGATGAAGGAACTTGTATTTCCTACAACTTGTAAACATTTATTAAATGAATCATTTCACCATGAGTCGCTTCTTCACTAGGACGATGAAACCATTTGGGACAAAACGTTTCTTAATACATGTCTTGAACTTTACATGTGTCCTTTTCCACAAATAAATATTGAGATGCATTTAAGTGTTGAAGTACATATCTCATGTGCCAGAAATTAATTTTTTAAATTTAACACAAGCTAATTTTGAAGCTTCACCTGAGAAATCTTCATTTTTTTTTATCACTTGTTAAATATCATTCCACCTGTACAGTAAAAAAATTAAAGAAAAATACTACATGTATATTTTTACATTCCATCAGGATTGCTATAATTTTTATTGTAATATTTAAATAATTAAACTTTATCATAGGTATGTATGTAAATGGTAAAAGATTTATATAGTATAGGGTTTGCTACTATCCATGGTTTCAAGTATCCATGGTAAATCTAGGGATGTATGTCCCACAGATATGGGGAACTACTGTATGTTAATTTTTATATTAATATCAAAGTTTCATTTGCATATATCATGCAATAATCAAATCAGCTTTTAATTCTTTTTTTTCCTAGTGGAGTTTTAAACATTTAAAATTACATATTCTGATCATTTCAAGGAGCTAAATTCTCTTATGTGTAATTGCAGATGTAGAAGTTATTTGCTGTAATAAGTACTGTATTGTAGAAATACGCCTTTCTTGACTGAAATTTGTAGTTACGCAGTAGGAGTAATAGTGATGTAGTTGATTTGCATTTTAAAACATGCAGTAATAATAAAGATAAAAAAAATTTTGTTTATGCAGTTAGCTGTTTGTAGCTACACTGACGGCTAAACTTGTGCTAAAATACAGTATGCAGTTTTCTGCAGATACCTGTACCTCTAGAATTTGTATATTACTTCATGGTTATCTAATCTATGGATGCTTAACATGTGTAACTCTAGTGGCTGTAACACATCTAATTGACACTCCACCTTATTCACGTTTTAGCCAACAGGTCTACTGTGACTTTTTTTTTATTGTATAAGGTATTCTAGCACAGAATGCTAGACAAAAAAAAAAAAAACTTTACATCACTGAAGGTATGATGTGAGAAGAATGTGAGAGCCATTTGATGGAGAACATCACATCCAGTTCTTCTGCCAGGGAGGTTTATATTATGGTAATTATGCTATCGTATGTAGAAAATTGAATTTTCATATATTTTACTATATTGTAATAAATTTTCAAATTGAAAGAAGGGCTTTGTGGAGACCTGGCATAATTATTTAAGTTTTCAATGATTGTTGCATTTATTACCTCCTTTTATAACTACATTTCATTCTTGTGCCTTTATCTCTGAAGAAATTTGATTTTACTCCAAGGGGAAGTGGAGAAGAATCCTTCCTCTGTAAGCCATACATGTTATAAGACAACTAAAATGCTGGGAGCAAGAGGCTAGTAACCCCTTCTCCTGTATAAATTACGAAATGTAAAAAGAAAAACTAAAGTTTTTCTTTTGACCTAAAAAGAAAAACTTTAGTTTTTCTTTTTAGGTCACCCTGTGTTAGGCAGCCGGTGTGTTGAAAAGAAATTAGTACCCCTCTAGTACTTCTTATTTCTTAGTTACATGCTGTGGGGTCCTTCTGCTGATGGTGCTACAAAATTTTCATTATCACTAGTTTTTATAGGCTTTTTAAATCATTCTTATGGATATCACATTTCCTCTTTCCCCTCCTTTCACCCAAAGATGATGTATCTTATTCCTTGAGCTTTTCTTCATAACTCACTTCTATTTGTACTGGGAGTCATTTTGTAGCTTGTTTTAGAACTTTTTTTTTATTTACCTTTTTTCTAATTTGCAGACACTTTATATGACTTGTCAGGAGTAAAAAACTAAATGAAGGTGGGAAATACAGTGACTGCACTCTGATGGATGGCTTGCAATGTTGTGGTCCAGAAAGTCATATGAATTCTGATATCTGTGCACTTCTGGAAAGACAGCTATTGAATGAGTGATGGTGAATTTGTTTCCATCTTTGGGTCACCCTTCCTTGATGGGGAAACAACTGGTATTAAAAAAAAAAAAAAACTGTGTAGGCTTATGGATTATGCACAAATTATGTCAACATAAGTAATTAATAATGTCTGTAAATCCCTGCAAGGAAATTGATAAGTTGAGTGAATGACATGATAGATTAGCAAGTACCAGTTAAGCAAATGATTCACTACTGTACACATCATCAACTGCGTAGTAATAAAGGCAAGTGACTGCCAACAACCTGAAGAAAATGGCCAGGAATGCATGCACTTGAGAATCTTTATTGAAAACATTTTGGTCCTGGGGCTGTGATCATTTCAAATACTGTACATATATTTTATGTCATTGATGTCCCAGGACCAAAACGTTTTCAGTACAGGTGTCTTGAGTATAGGTGCTCCTCGACTTACAGTGGGGTTATGTTTCAAAAAACCCATCATGTCGAAAATATTGAAAGTCAAATATGAAATGCTAAATAAGTAAATCAATAACTACTGTCAGTGAATAAATAAATAATTATTGTAACTTACTAAATACTACCAGTATTGAAAAGTAAATAAGTGAATACAAGTTATGGACTTGCCACCTTCACACTGGGTAATTATCTGAAGTTTCATTTCCCAAGCAAATGCTTTTGCACCATCGTAAAGTCAAAATATTCGTAAGTTGAACCATCGTAAGTATAGGAGCACTGTATATGCTTTAGTGACCATTTCCTTCATCAGCTGCATGCGATGCATGAAGAGAGGGGTGGAAGCAGTGCTTCTAGAAGGTAAAGTAATGTTACAGGAGGGGGGACACTTTACAGGTGAGGTGTTAGTGATTGAAGAGGGTTATAGTAGGGTGCTCCAGCTAGATTCTTCTCTGCGCACCCATTGCTCTGGTTGCCTGGCCAGATGCCTTACTCCACTGCCATGCCCATCTTGTTCAAAAGTAAGCCTTAATGTTGAGCTTTCATTTGTTTTTTGCTAGTACTGTGCTACTCTTAGTTTCCACTAACATAACTATTGTATAAGGTTTTCATCACCAGAACTCACATTATACCTGCTGTTCTTTTTATAGTAAGTCCTCAACTTACAAACACATTGGGGACCTCCTGAATTGTGTATAATATTCATAATACAGGAAGTCTTCAATTTATGTGCATGTTGGGGACCTTCTGTATTGTGTATAATAATATATAATAATGATATTATACACAGTGCATTATACACCGTGTTTGTAAGCCGAGGACTTACTGTACTGCTATGATGCTGTTATGTCTACTAGTGTATATACTGTATTTGGATTTCATGAAGTATATTAAACTGTAAAATGATCAGTTTCAGAAATTAGCCAGTTAGATGCACAAATCTAGGAGTGGTTGTCTCGCCTTAAGGAAGACTAAACCCCTTTCCTCACAGATTTTTGACATTTTGAATATTGTTTTCTAGAAAGTTATTTTTATATTCTCAATTTAATTTTGCAACTCATCAAGCAGATTTTTTGAGTCTTTAATTTTGCCTTTGATAAAAATAGTTTAAAAAAAATGCTAGTCACATCAGATCTAAATGAATATATTCCAGTTTATGTCTCAAATTATTTTCTCAGTAAATGTACAATTCTGTTGAATCAAATTAAGTTTTAATAAACAGCTGTCAGTGAATAAAAAGAAAGGTGGATGAGGGGCTTGAGCCGCCATCTGTAAGTTGACAGACTGTGGTTCAAGCACCTCGTCCACCCTTCTGTTTATTCATACAGTACTGTATTTTCATAAACAGATGAATGTCATCAACATGGATATATCATAGATGTGTTTGTTTATGATATGCACTGAGCCAGTGTCATCAACATGGACATAACATAGATGTGTTTATGATATGCACTGAGCCAGTGTCATCAACATGGACATAACATAGATGTGTTTATGATATGCACTGAGCCAGTGTCATCAACATGGAAATATCATAGATGCATTTATGATATGTACTGAGCCAGTGTCATCAACATGGACATATCATAGATGCATTTATGATATGCACTCAGCCAGTGTCATCAACATGGACATATCATAGATGTGTTCTCTTTATCATATACAATGAACCATGTGCTGGAAAATTTTTAAGTAGCTTAGGCCCCAAACTGACACTGAAAGAATAATGTATTTTCCATTCTGTGTGTGTTACATTCTCTTTTTTCTCTCCCTCATCTCTCTTTCTCTCTTTTCCATAAATTACACATCTTCCTTCCTTTCTCATTTTCTGTTGCTTTTTGCATGCTAAAACACTACTTGTATGTCATTGTTTTGTGTGTAGCATTAGTTTTCTTACTTTACTGCAGTCATTGTAACTCCTGTAGTTGTATTGATAGATTTATTGTGTAAAACTTAAAGTTTAGCTAAGTTTATACATTATTAACTTTCAGTTCTACACATGGAGTATAACTCAGATATTTTGTACAGTATGTTTATTTGTTGTGTTCATTGCTTATTATGCAAATCTTTTTGCATAATAAGTGTTTATAATAAATAATAATAATAATAGACAGACTGGTTATAAATGACCATAATTTTTAAAGGGGTGGACCGGTAAGCCAGTGGAAGGCCTCGGTCAGATGACCAAAAGCTCCAAAGGCGGGTCATCATCTGACTAAGACCCGCGTCAGGAAACATTTGTCCTGTTTCCTGACGAACCTTACCTAACCTAACCTAATAATAATAATAATAATAATAATAATAATAATAATAATAATAATAATAATAGTGATGATGATATTGGCAGTTTGGAGGGATATGTTGTGTGTCTTTATATGTGTATGCTTCTGGACTGTTGTATTCTGAGCACCTCTGCAAAAACAGTGATAATGTGCGAGTGTGGTGAAAGTGTTGAATGATGATGAAAGTATTTTCTTTTTGGGGATTTTCTTTCTTTTTTTTTTTTGGGTCACCCTGCCTCGGTGGGAAACGGCCGACTTGTTGAAAAAAAAAAAAAAAAATAATAATAATATATTTTTTTTTATTTTTTATTATCACACTGGCCGATTCCCACCAAGGCAGGGTGGCCCGAAAAAGAAAAACTTTCACCATAAAGTTTTGACATGATACATAGTTGTACAAAGGAATACAGTGGACCCCCAGTTAATGATATTTTTTCACTCCAGAAGTATGTTCAGGTGCCAGTACTGACCGAATTTGTTCCCATAAGGAATATTGTGAAGTAGATTAGTCCATTTCAGACCCCCAAACATACACGTACAAACGCACTTACATAAATACACTTACATAATTGGTCGCATTCGGAGGTGATCGTTATGCGGGGGTCCACTGTATAATAGTTGAGTGTTCATGCCAAAAGCCCCTTGTATGCAAAGCATTTCGGGCAAATTTAACATTAACTTAAGATTAATTAGGCTATAACAGATTAGGTGGTCATTAGGTGAGTAACAGTGAGTACAAGAGAACTGAGTATTAATAGGTAATGCTATATGGCTGTAATAGATCTAGTAAAGAAGTTTATTAGTGAATAATTACAGTTTCGAATTATTTTATAAAAATTTCAGTATTACAATAGAACAGTATAAACAATTTACAATATGAAGTACAATTGAGTATTTACAACAATGAAATTTGAACATTGCAATTTTGAAGCATTGCAGTTTTACAATAGAACAATTTACAATATGAAGTATTACAATTTAGTATTCAAACAATGAAATTTGAACATCCTGTTTTTGAAGTAATGAGTACATGGTTGAGCAATTTGAAGCACAATATTCAATATTGAAATTATGGCATCATTGGTACTTGTTTGTGTTGCTTTTGAGTAAATGGTAGGTATTAAGTACAGCTTGTCTGGTTAATTTTGGGAGATGAGGAGATTTCTAAGTAGGACCTTGAATTGCTTTTCAGGCAGCAGGGGTCCTTTAGTGTCTTCTGGTAATGAATTTCATATCTTCGGGACCTTGACGTACATAGCATTTTTGCACAGGGAGAGATGGACACAAGGGATATCAAAGAGTGATTTGTGTTTTGTATTATGGTTGTGTGTTCTGTTGTAGTTAGTAAGTAGGAGTTTGAGAGAAGGGTTAATATTTGAGTGTAGTGTTCTGTGTATGTAGTAGGCACATTAATAAGTGTGGATGTTTTGTATATTGAGTAAGTTAAGACTCTTGAAAAGTGGAGGAGTATGCTCTTTATTACAAGAGTTTGTAATCAATTGCACTGCAGTTTTTTGTTGGGTTATCAAAGGTTTAAGGTGATTTGCTGTGGTTGAGCCCCATGCACCCTCTAGGGAAAAGGGCATTGAAGCTGGCAAAGGGCTCATGATGCAAGAAATTGGAGCTACCCTTCCCTTCCTCAGATCAAGCCCGACTATCCCTTACCCCATGTGCTATATGAACCTTTTGGGTTTAGTGCTTCTCCATACATTCAGTGCTAATCATGACTCACAAACTTTTAATAACACAATTGCAAACGAACCAGGGAATGGGTGGGATTGGAACCCGTGGTGACTCACTTGCCATAGGTTCCAGTGCCACTCATTCCATGATTTTGTTCAATGCTAATAATCTAGTCATATACAAGACGGCCCCACATATACAGCAGGTTGTTCCAGGCTAATGCTGTAAAATGAAACATAGTCTTTTTTTCACTTTCAAATGCATATGAAAGCCTGAAAACATGTTTAAACTATCGTATGTTAAGTGAGCAATAGAGCAAGGCCTAAAAAATGCATATGCAATACACACATTACTTAATTTAAAATATTTTCGTCCTTAGCTTATAATGAATGTGAATATATTTATTGTAGAAAGTCTGAATAAATGAAGAATTGGTATAATTGAAAGCTTCTGCATTAGGAAAATGCTGTAAATTAAAGCACTGTGAAGTGAGGCCTGCCTGTAATATGTATTTCATTGTATGTATGCAATATAATATTTTTGTATATTACAGGTAATATTCTGTAGCAGTGAATGTCAAGCAAGAGGAATTGCTTCATATCATGGTCAAGAATGCAAAGTAATCCCTTCTTTGACTGCACTAGACATGGGCAAAAATTCTGTACTGGCCATCAGGTTACTGATACAGACTTCATACCTTCACCTAAAAAACATGATACCTGTCTTCCTCACCGAAGCTGAGAACTGTCCCCCAGAGGCCTTAGGATTTAATGGCGAAGGAATATATGATTCCTCAGATTACAGGACGATTTATCATTTAGTTACCAACAGGGAAAGTCGCTCTGTCAGTGACCTCTTCAAAAGGTGTGCCATGGCTCTCATTTTGACCAAACTATTGCAAGAAAGTGAGCAGTTTTTTGTGAATGCTATGGGTGAACCCTTCACTCCCACACATGATGATATCATGCTGGCCGGCTGCACCCTCTTTCTTCACATGATGAACCTTCCCTGTAATGCTCACTCCATCACTGAACTTCAGGTGAATTTGTTTTTTGTTCCTCTGGGTATTTTTTTAACTTTTTACCACACCAGCCATCTCCCACTGCAAAAGGATCACCAAAAAAAGGAAACCACATTCATCATCACTCATTCAATGACATGATGGTGAATGTGTTTCCTTTTTTTTCATTGGGAGAGAGCCAGTGTGGTAAAGGAAAAAAAAATAAGCTATTTCCAAATTTAAGGGGCACATCAGTTCCCCTGTTTTCTAATATGTAATTTTTCCTCTAAAATCTACCTTGTCCATAATTACTATCGCATTTGCTTTGTCTGCTTTCGTAAGGTGAAGTCTAGGATCTTTCCTTAACTCTTTGACTATTTAGGCCGTATATATATCTGTCTTATGAGCCAATGTGTTTGACGTGTATATACTCAAAAATTCTAGCGGCTTCAAATCAAGCAAGAGAAAGCTGGTAGGCCCACATGTGAGAGAATGGGTCTGTGTGGTCAGTGTGCACAGTATAAAAAAAATCCTGCAGCAAGCAGTGCATAATGAGAAAAAAAAACTCTGACTGTGTTTTTGGATTAAAACGCCAACTTTGAGGCGTATTTTCGTATAGTTTTTATGATTACATGTATATTCTTGTTTTCCTAGTCACATTTGATAGAATGGAAAACATATTATAGAAATGGAGGTGATTTTGATTGATTTTACTATGAAAAGGACCTTGAAATGGAGCTCAAAGTAGGGGAAATGTTTGATTTTTGCCGATGTTCAAGAGTAAACAAATGTCCAATAAATGTCCATCTAGCCATTCTGATATGCAGTCATGAATGGTTTGACATTATTTATACAATTATTACAATATCGCAGTAGTCTGCATAACAGTAAATCTTCTATTTTTTGTTTGGATAAAAATTCAAAATAGAAAGCAAGATTAATATCAGAGGGGCCTGGAGACGTGGCTGATAAACAAAGAAAATGTTATTTTAGAGCCAAGAATGTCTGCATTGTTCATTCTGGACCCTATTTTGAAATTGGCATATTTTTTAATTTGCATGAAATTGGCCAAATTGCCAATTTCATGCAAATTATTGGGTAGTTGAAATTGGTAAATGGGCAGTTTCTTGTATTCAATCGATAGAACAAATGGAGTTCTAAAGAAATATCTATGAGTTTGATTGACTGGACCAATGGAATTAGCTGAAAATAGAGCTCAAAGTGGGTGAAATCACCAATTCGTAAATATCGCCAAGGTTGCTAACTTTGCGAGAGCGTAATTCCATAAGTTTTTCATCAAATTTCATACTTTTGGTGTCATTACCATTGGGAAAAGATTCTCTATAATTTCATAAGAAAAAAAATAATTTTTTTTTTTTTTTTCAAATATTTTGCGACACCAGGAGACACCTTAGGATTTGGGGTTGCGACGGTCAAAGAGTTAATTTGTGATGTAACTCAGCAAATCTTTGAGGACAATTATGTTGCAGAGGTCTGAGCAAAGCTCAGACCTCTGCAACACATTATCTTTGATCATTTTCATAATCTATTGTGATGTATATTTATTAAAAATCTTTATCCCTCTGCAGGTGGACGTGAGTAATTACCAGAGGAGTTCATCCCAAGAAATTGGCTGCGGAGCTTTCGGAGTACTGAGTCTCACTAATCATTCTTGCAACCCAACAGCAGCACGCTCCAGCTATGGCAGCATTGTCGTGTTGAGGGCCATACGCTTTATCTCACAGGGGGAGGAAGTAACTGACTGCTATGGTGAGCACTATGGCATAAATAACACTGAAACGAGGGTAGCTAAACTCCTGCAGCAGTACTATTTCAGCTGCACCTGTGACCCTTGTAAGTTTAACTGGCCCAGCTATCTTGGCTTGTCATCAAAGCTCAAGCTAAAATGTTTGAAATGTTCAAAAGCAATAAACGTTGACCAGGGTCTGTGTACTAAATGTAAACTGAACTATAATGAGTCTTCAAGTAATGATGTCAGCACAAATGTACACTTGTACAATTGCAAGGATATTGGGCAGCAGATTCAACAAGCAGTTGTCAGCTATGATAGCGCATACAACAGCATTATAGAAGGTAAAAATTCAGCAGAAAATATACAACTAGTGTGTGATATTATTAAACTTATAGATCAGTATGTTGAGCAACCAAATAAAGTGTATTTTGAAGCTCAGGAAACTCTGAAACATTGTCTTGATAGGCAGGGATCTTGTGTTTTCAAGAAGGACTGATTATTAAAGTTGTACAAGTTGTTTTGTTGAAAATATTTTCTTTTATGTAGTACAGGAGGGCCCCATTTTTATGGCTCTTGGGTTCCTGACCCCCGGTGGTAAGTAAAAATCAGCGGCGAATGGAAAAGAGCGGTTTTTCAATATGGAGTGCGTCTAAAATGCCTGATATGTTTACATGTTATGGAGAGCTCAATACAGCTAGGCATAAAAAAAACAGATACAAAGGTGAAATAAATTCACAGTACATACAATATGTACCCTAAAATATGGTGTTGATCACCCTTCCCTCACACAACTTACATGAAAACAGCAGAAAAGGGGAAAAAGCACTTAACATAATGAACAGTGGCTCAATTGAAAATGTGGAACACTGAAAAGAGATTGTCTAATACATGGGGCCCTCCTGTACACTATATCAAAAATAAATACTGTAGTAGCTTACTTGTGTAAATATTTTAATTTTTATATCCAAGGAAGTATAATAATAATAATATATTTCAAGAAATCTGTAATTAAAAGTTTGATATTCAGTATATTTTTCAATTTTATGCAGTACAGTGGACCCCCGGTTAACGATATTTTTTCACTCCAGAAGTATGTTCAGGTGCCAGTACTGACCGAATTTGTTCCCATAAGAAATATTGTGAAGTAGATTAGTCCATTTCAGACCCCCAAACATACATGTACAAACGCACTTACATAAATACACTTACATAATTGGTCACATTCGGAGGTAATCGTTATGCGGGGGTCCACTGTATTACGTATATTTAGAATCACTATTTTTTAACAGAGCAAAATTATGGTGCTGTATTTTTTATCAAATAAAAATAAATGGTGCTATTCTATTACAAGTTATGAACTGTGTGTTTAGTGGTGTCTTACCTCTGCTGCAGCTCTCTGACCTCTGTGTAACCCCGGTTTCCTACACCAGCTGTACTGCCTGTCTTTTCAGCTAGTCTTCTCCTTAACATCACCCCTACCCTCCCATCATCTCTCTCATCCACCATGAAGCACTGAATAACCCATATGGGTTTAGTGTTTTCCATGAACGTAATGTACATGCAGGCCCCAGTTATACAGCAAGTTAGGTTTCAGGGTTATTGTAGGGCCTTGCTTATACAGCAGGTAAAGGCAAAGGTACAAAGTCAGAGTTAAAGCTACTATATTAGTATTATTTATTTTACTGTAACTTAAAGAAAAGCTAAGAAATAAGCTGTGCCTTATAAAGTTTACATCTGTAGATCAGTAGCCCCCAACCTTATAGTATGAAAGAGCCAACTTGAAAAGCCAAATCAAAAGGAAGGCTACAGTTGCCAGGTATATCCACATAAATCATGCATATGAGAAGTGAAAGCTGGTTGCTGGAGGCAGTAATAAGGTTTTAGTGTAAAATAGCTTTAAATATTTCGTAATTGTTGACACTGTGCAGTGTGAAATGTACTTAAAAGTGAATTCATAATTTCATGTGAGGGTACCATCCATTTCCTAGAAGGGCCACTCGCAGCTCCCAGGCCACAGGTTGAGGGCTATTGTTCTAGATAATCTAGAGTCTGCTGCCAAGGATGATATTTCTTGTACAGTGATACATTTTTAATGTATCTAATATACATTTTCTTTCTTTCCATGAAAAAAAACCATACCATGGGCGGAGTTAGAACTCGCAATCAGAGAGTCTCAAAACTTCAGACCATCTCGTTAGCCACTGGGCCAGCTAGCCACAATAAGATTCGTCCAACTAGGTATATTTATACACCATAGGAAAGTTAGCATAGGCACCACTGTGACCAGAGGCTAACGCGACAGTCTGGAGTTTTGAGACTCTTATCGTGGGTTCTAACCCCGCCCGTGGTATGGTTTGTTTGCAATCATGCCATTACGATTTTGTGAGTCAAGTTCTTTCCATGATGTAAATTTTTAGCAAGCATAATTTGATATTTTCAAAAGCATATGTACATTTATAATTATTCTTTATTCTATATTAGTTTAGTTATTAACTTTAACTAATTTTATATACCAGTACATTGTGCAGTATGGATTATTTTGAACACAGTGCATATATAACAGTAAGTTCATATCTGTATTAATGTTGGTAGAATTACCAACAATATATCAGGTAAAGGGACACATGTGCAAATAATGTGACATTTTATTGTGGCAGCATTTCGCTCTCCAGGAGCTTTATCAAGAGCAACGGCTTGATAAAGCTCCTGGAGAGCAAAATGTTGCCACAATAAAATGTCACATTAGTTGCACTTGTGTCCTTTTACCTAACAAGTTCATATCTTTAGGATCTACACTGTTCAGCAACAAGCTCTCTCTCTGACAATAATTCTATAATGTCAAGTTTCCAGACATATTACAGGTGTGCTTGTAGTTAACCATGACCTGGTTTACTACCTCCTGGTCTCTCTCCACTTTTTCATCCAGGTCATCTCACTTACTTCCTGACCTTCATGATGCTGAAGACATTTCCTGACATCCTTGTAATTTGTCTCTGTTTTTAACTATCATTCATACCCATTTTCCATCCTGTACTCTCCTAGAGTAGTCGAAAATACATCCTTTGCTCTCCTGCACCTATCATGTATTCTACCAGAGCACTCCAACACCTGTCCTGTACTCTCTCAGAGCACTCCACCCATCCTGTACTCTCCCAGGGCAGTCCAAAACACATCTTGTACTGTCCACCTACGAAACAATGTTGAGTATTTTATTTACTCAATTTTTTGTGTGGAAAAAGACACTTATGTACGATTCAGAACATATATTAGAGGAAATGTTTTGCCATGAGTGACTTTTTAGTTCATTATGACTGAAGAAGACATTTGTGGCCTGAACTGTACATAAGTGTCTTTTTCTACATCTTGTCAGTATCACCAGACTATTTTTCACTAATATTTTGTAAGGTAGCCACATTTGTATACAAATCATCTAGCATTAAATTCTTTTTCCTGAGAATTATATGGCTATTAAACCAGACTGAAAATTTACACCTCTATGAATATAATAATATAAGGAGAGAGGAACTGTATGGGCCTTGAACTGATATCTACATAGCCACTTTATCATTGCGCCATAGACAAGTTCCACATCTAACCTCTTACAAAATCTTAAGAGATGTGAGAAGAGAATGTACACTCTGGAGCCCACTTACTGCTCACTAAAATCTCTATAACACCCAAACTGCTAGAAACACTTTAAGCATATGTACTTGGAATGCACCCTCTGACATGGAATGACATCTAAACTGTTGTATCTGCACCTCTAGCAAGACAGTGATAGTGTGAATGATGATGAAAGTTTTTTTTTTCTGGTCGCCCTGCCTTCGTGGGACATGGCCAGCATGTTAAAAAAAAAAAAAATTGAGGGTAGGAGAGAGAACGTATGTACACTACACAGAATATTCTCGAGGGTCAGGTCTCCAATCTGCAAATTACCATAAATATTTATTGGAGAGAGATGTATAGAATGATGATTAAAATTTACCCAGTGAAAAGCAGAGGTGCCATGTGGACTATTTAAAAATGCTGTAAATATCTCTGGCTAGGTAAGGCTAGGTAAGGTTTGTCAGGAAACAGGACAAGTGTTTCCTAATGTGGGTCTTTAGTCATAATGACCCGCAGCTGGAGCTTTTGGTCATATGACCGAGGCCTTCCACTAGCTTACCCTTCCACCACTTTATAAACTGTGGTTATGATTATAACCATTTTGTGCTCCAAGACACTTTTAACTTTCTACCGACAATTGTTGAATACATGTATATTGCCTGAATAAGAGTAGAGGATTTCAACAGGAGCTGGACTAGATTCTGCAAAAGTATCAAGGCAGCCAGGATATGACAGATGCTATGTTTAAGGCTGTAAGCTGTGAGTAGCAACAGCCTGGTTGATCAGGCAGTCAGCAAGGTGGTCTGTCCTTGGGGACAAGTTGTGAGCCAGAGAATTCTGGAAACCAGTCAGAAGAATGTCGAGAGACTTGCCTGCCTCACACTTGTTGAGTCTGTATATTGAAGCTTAATATCCACATTAAGATGCAGTGACCTTGCTCTTACCTTTGAAAATGAAGGCCTTGATACCAGCAAAAGGCTATTGATCCAAGGCATTTTAGCTACCCGTTTCTTCCTTGGAGTGAGCCGGATTTTAACTAATTTCATTAGGGGTTGAGAGTTTCCCATGATTATAATGTTAATAATAATAATTTATGCTTTTAACTGGATGACATTATTTTGATGTTTCTTGAGGACTGAAAATTGATCATAATTAAAGTTCTTGCATATTATTCTAATAATTATTATATCTTCTTAAATAGCTATCACAACTTTGGGGCCCAGTCCCTGGACCCACTATGTACCTCTGTAGTCCTTTGACTACCACCCACACCATGGGTATGAAGTGACTACCACCCACACCATGGGTATGGAGTGACTACCACCCACACCATGGGTATGGAGTGACTACCACCCACACCATGGGTATGGAGTGACTACCACCCACACCATGGGTATGGAGTGACTACCACCCATGCCATGGGTATGGAGTGACTACCACCCACACCATGGGTATGGAGTGACCACCACCCACACCATGGGTATGGAGTGACCACCACCCACACCATGGGTATGGAGTGACCACCACCCACACCATGGGTATGGAGTGCATAATAAACATATTAAACTAAACTTCTTAAATAATGTTAACATGATTTTTTGTGTGTAGTATATCAATTTTGTTGTTATTTTTACTTCATAGTGTTGTTAAAATTCATATGAAGAATTTATTGCATACATGGTTGTATACTGTATACATGATAGTTGTATTGTTTTGTGTTTATTTATTCTACATTTTAAGTACCTATTCTCTGCAGATTAATAAAAGGAAGTTTTATAGAACGTTTTTTTTTTTAATTTTTTGTAATTCCCTTTCCTTTAGCTTTGTGCAGAGTTTCTGAAGTCTCAGTAGGCCTACCACGTTACCTATACACCACAAAGTTAAAGTTTGTTACCACATGATACAGTGTTTATACAAAATTGGGTGACATTTGAATGCGTGAAGAAAACTCCTGGTTATACACAGCATTCTGAGCAAACTTAAGATGGCAAGGGCAATAAACATTATATACTGTAGGGCCCCACTTATACAGCAGGTTAGGGTCTGGGCTACTGTAGGGCTCTGCTTATACAGCACATAAGTTTTCGGGCTACTGTAGGGCCTCGCTTATACAGCAGGTTAGGTTCTAGGTTACTGTAGGGCTCTGCTTATACAGCAGGTTAGGTTCTGGGTTACTGTAGGGCTCTGCTTATACAGCAGGTTAGATTCGATGCTACTGCTGTAAAGTGAAACATAGTCTTTTCTTGCTTTCAAATGCATATAAAAGCCTGATGGCATGTTTACACTATCATATATTAAGTGAGCAATAGAACAAGACCTTAAAAAATGCATATACAGTACACACATTACTTTAAAATATTTTTGTTCTTAGCTGATAGTGAGTAGTTAATATATTTATTGTAGGAAGTATGAATCAATGAAGAATTGGTATAATTGAAAACTGCTGAATTAGGGAAATACTGTAAAGTGAAGCGCTGTGAAGCGAGACCCACTTGTACAGGTGAATAAACAGTAATGGATGAAGGAATTGATCTGCTGCCCACAAATTGACAGTCCGGCCCACTAACACTCTTTATTCATTGATGGTTGTTGACTACAACATGGTGCTCATTACATATGTCTGTTTAAGGTTATTAAATGCATGCAACCAAGTATTGATGAATGTCTCACGAATTCATAATTACACAATTGCAAACAAACCATTTACACCCAATGACGACGAAGAGAGAATGACCAGAAACCTGGTGACTGTTTGAGTACAAGCACCTTAAGTAAGTTTATTTAGGTACATGTACACACAAATAGTTACATAAATTATCATACATAGTAGCATATGTGTAGATTATCTAGGATAACCCAAAAATGTCAGACTGATTTATTTCCATTGGGGTCCTTGACTTGTTGGTCAACAACTTTGACAAAGAGTTTGTTTACTCCTTCCCAAATGAATATAATAATAATCTTTATTTCTAAAATTACATGATGCAACTTATACAGATGAATAATTGTCTTATTGCCCTACAGTGGTGGGTGAGATGGTACTTTGAGTCTGGTGTAGGGTGTTCCATCTAAGAAACTAGGTGTACCCTTGCCAGATGTTAGGTGCCTTGATGCCAGTGAGGGGCTCTTGATGCCAGTGAGGGGCTTTTGATGCCAGTGAGGGGCTCTTGATGCCAGTTAGTGACTCTTGATGTCAGTTAATGACTCTTGATGCCAATAAGTGACTTAATACCAGTGAGGGGTTCTGGGTGCCATTCCCCAAGTTTGTATGGCCTCCCTACAGGTTTAGTGCTTCTACCTGAATGCACTATTATTAATCATAATAAAGATCACAGTCAGCACTAGAAGGTCAACTGGACCAGTTTATGATAGTGGTTTCTAATTACGTAATACTTGAAGCAAGTACAGCAGTGGAAACAACCTTGAAGGAAATAAGTACTGTACCTCTCTATAATAATAATAATAAAAATAATAATAATAATGTATAATTTTATGGTTAATTTTGCCATTTGTTTACCACATTGGCCATTTCCCACCGAGGTAGGGTGACCCAAAAGAGAAGCAACATTCATCATCACTCACTCCACCACTGTCTTACCATAGCAGCACCAGTACCACAGTTCCAGAACTCCTATTTGACATATATTCACAAAATTCTTCGCCTGAGATGCAACTAACACATGGTAAAAATATTTTAATTCATATTATATTTCATGCAGAATAAACATCATATTTTTATTTTTTTTTTGACCCGTCGTGAGACACAGAAGCTACCACTGTGCTACAAGTACCTTGTTTGACCCCAGATTCTTCAGTTGTGAGACACAGAAGCTACCACTGTGCTACAAGGACCTTGTTTGACCCCAGGTTCTTCAGTTGTGAGACACAGAAGCTACCACTGTGCTACAAGGACCTTGTTTGACCCCTGGTTCTTCAGTTGTGAGACACAGAAGCTACCACTGTGCTACAAGGACCTTGTTTGACCCCTGGTTCTTCAGTTGTGAGACACAGAAGCTACCACTGTGCTACAAGGACCTTGTTTGACCCCTGGTTCTTCAGTTGTGAGACACAGAAGCTACCACTGTGCTACAAGGACCTTGTTTGACCCCTGGTTCTTCAGTTGTGAGACACAGAAGCAACCACTGTGCTACAAGGACCTTGTTTGACCCCTGGTTCTTCAGTTGTGAGACACAGAAGCTACCACTGTGCTACAAGGACCTTGTTTGACCCCTGGTTCTTCAGTTGTGGCCACCGGGCCACCACCACCACCATGGAGAGGGAGCATGGACACGGGGGTAGTCCCACAGTTACTAAAAACAACAGACATAGCCCCACTCCACAAAGGGGGCAGTAAAGCAACAGCAAAGAACTACAGACCAATAGCACTAACATCCCATATCATAAAAATCTTTGAAAGGGTCCTAAGAAGCAAGATCACCACCCATCTAGAAACCCATCAGTTACACAACCCAGGGCAACATGGGTTTAGAACAGGTCGCTCCTGTCTGTCTCAACTATTGGATCACTACGACAAGGTCCTAGATGCACTAGAAGACAAAAAGAATGCAGATGTAATATATACAGACTTTGCAAAAGCCTTCGACAAGTGTGACCATGGCGTAATAGCGCACAAAATGCGTGCTAAAGGAATAACAGGAAAAGTCGGTCGATGGATCTATAATTTCCTCACTAACAGAACACAGAGTAGTCGTCAACAGAGTAAAGTCCGAGGCAGCTACGGTGAAAAGCTCTGTTCCACAAGGCACAGTACTCGCTCCTATCTTGTTCCTCATCCTCATATCGACATAGACAAGGATGTCAGCCACAGCACCGTGTCTTCCTTTGCAGATGACACCCGAATCTGCATGACAGTGTCTTCCATTGCAGACACTGCAAGGCTCCAGGCGGACATCAACCAAATCTTTCAGTGGGCTGCAGAAAACAATATGAAGTTTAACGATGAGAAATTTCAATTACTCAGATATCGTAAACACGAGGAAATTAAATCTTAATCAGAGTACATAACAAATTCTGGCCACAAAATAGAGCGAAACACCAACGTCAAAGACCTGGGAGTGATCATGTCGGAGGATCTCACCTTCAAGGACCATAATATTGTATCAATCGCATCTGCTAGAAAAATGACAGGATGGATAATGAGAACCTTCAAAACTAGGGATGCCAAGCCCATGATGACACTCTTCAAGTCACTTGTTCTATCTAGGCTGGAATATTGCTGCACACTAACAGCACCTTTCAAGGCAGGTGAAATTGCTGACCTAGAAAATGTACAGAGAACTTTCACAGCGCGCATAACGGAGATAAAACACCTCAATTACTGGGAGCGCTTGAGGTTCCTGAACCTGTACTCCCTGGAATGCAGGCGGGAGAGATACATGATTATGTACACCTGGAAAATCCTAGAGGGACTAGTACCGAACTTGCACACGAAAATCCTCATACCGAAAGCAATAAGATGGAGTGATGCAACATCCCCCCAATGAAAAGCAGGGGTGTCACTAGCACGTTAAGAGACCATCAATAAGTGTCAGGGGTCCGAGACTGTTATATGCTGCCCTACAGCACTTAAGGGGGATTTACCAACAAGACATGGATCTTTCAAGCTGGCAACGGGAAAGCACCTAAGTTCGGATTTCCTGACCAGCCGGCTGTGCACGGGTACTGTTTGTTTGCGGTGCATGCACAGAACAGTAACAAGCTAGGTTGATCAGCATGAACATCCTCACCAGGCAGGCCTGGTCACTAGACGTGGACCCTGGGGGCGTTCGAGACCGTCGAACTCTCTCCAGTACACATCAGGTGGATTACTTATATATCCACTGGTAAGCAGCGGAAACGTACCAATGGGTATCACTGCACGGCAAACGTACTTGAGTATACATCACAAACGATACAGGTCTATCACAAGCTGTCACAACGGCGTACATGGGCGTTACCCACAACTTACAGGATACAACTCACACGTATATGGGTATTACACTCAACAGTTGAACGTACATGGGTATACACTCACAAACGTACATGAGTATACACTCACAAACGAACATGGGTATACACTCACAAACGTACATGGGTATACACTCACAAACGTACATGGATACACACTCACAAACGTACATGGGTATACACTCACAAACGTACATGGGTTTACATGACAAACGTACAGGTGTACACATCACAAACGTACATGGGTTATACTCACAAACGTACATGGATACACACTCACAAACGTACATGGGTATACACTCACAAACGTACATGGGTATACACTCACAAACGTACATGGGTGTACACTCACAAACGTACATGGGTGTACACTCACAAACGTACATGGGTGTACACTGACAAACGTACACGGGTGTACACTCACAAACGTACATGGGTATACACTCACAAACGTACATGGGTGTACACTCACAAACGTACATGGGTATACACTCACAAACGTACATGGGTGTACACTGACAAACGTACACGGGTGTACACTCACAAACGTACATGGGTGTACACTCACAAACGTACATGGGTGTACACTGACAAACGTACATGGGTGTACACTGACAAACGTACATGGGTGTACACTGACAAACGTACATGGGTGTACACTCACAAACGTACATGGGTGTACTCACAAACGTACATGGGTGTACACTCACAAACGTACATGGGTGTACACTCACAAACGTACATGGGTATACACTCACAAACGTGCATGGGTGTACACTCACAAACGTACATGGGTGTACATTGACAAACGTAC